AAATTCTTCTGAATCGGCGCTATTTGTCTTGATTTGGTCACGTTGTTTGCATTAGATCTACCCTGATTGATATCGATTTCCAATTTTCGATTAAGTGTTGAAACCAGCGAATAATTGCGCTGTGTTTTTTCAGAACTAAAACGAATCTTCTTTCGAATATGCGGTGGAATTGAAACTGATTTTATCATCTCTGTTGGCTCAGCCATATAGTTGCAGATAAAAGTTGGACAAAGTTGGAATACACTTCCTTGTTTCCCATCCACGTTTCTCATGGAAATCTCCATGACGCTCTCGAAGCACACCAGTTTCTCAACGATTCTGGAAAGGAGGTACGAAGAGCACTCTTTTTTGCCTGTGACTTTTATGTTAGTTATAAGTTTTATGCTCATTTTCATGATTCAGCCATGGTTCGAGTCGTTACCCGCTGTTTTGATTTTTTCTCTGGGTCGTTATTTCTTCAACGGAACGAAAGGAGAAACAGAAAAACTCAACATGCGCTTTCATTTCCCTCGTACCATCTTTATGGATCGCTATATGGCGAGGTTATTCTCATAGTCATGTCGTGTTATTTCAATAAAGTCAGATTTTCAGTAACTACGATATTGTGTCTCGTCTTCGCGAGGAAAGAAACCGACTACGCAATGAGTTGTCTGACGTTCGTGCTGCTCTGAAAGGGTAAGTTTGGTTATCGAAGCAAAATGGAGCGCACTTATATCTGTGATCTACAGGATGAACGAATTTCCTATTGGTGATCATACGGACAGGATCGTAAATATTCTGAAGGCTACACTACGATTTGTGGAGGGAGAGAAATCTGACAGGTAAGCTGCTACAGTATGCTCTCATTTTTCCCTATTTGAAACGATGTTCTTTTTTGTACACCAGAAAGTAGAATATTGTCCTCAGTCTCATTCCTTACATACTCTTGAGTATTACCAACTACTGCATTCATTAACACATTCACGACAATACGTACCACCGGTGGTCGTACGCTTTCCGAAGTTTTTGAATTTTTTCTAGTCCACGATTAAACGTTTTGGGTAGACTAAATAAACTTCTGTACACATACCTTGGAATATTTTC